CCTGGGGCTCGGCGGGGCCGGCGCGCCGCTGCTCCTGCTGCTCCTGCTGCTGGCCGGGCCGGGGGCCGGCCGAAAGCCCTCGCGGAGGAAATGCGCGATCCGCTGCTCGTGCACCAAAGACGCGGCGCTCTGCGAAGGGGCCGAGGAGATCCCCAAGGAGCTGCCCCCGAAGCTGGTCTCCCTGTAAGAGCCCCCCCCCCCGCCTCCTTCTTTTCCCCTTCCTGCGTGGTTGGTTGCGGTGGGCGATAAGGGGTGAACGGTCGGGGGTTGGCGCGCAGGGATGCCAGCCTCCGGGTGGGACCACCTGGGGATCCCCCGGAATGACAGCTCCTCTCCCGACCTCAGAGGTCAGTTCCCCTGGAAGACAATGGATGCTTTGCACCCCACCGTGCCTCCCCAGGCTCCATCCCCAAACCTCCAGGTGATTCCTAACCTGGATCTGGGAGCCCCCCCCATCCTTCCCCCCCACACACCGTCAGTGGCCAGGAGGGACCTGGCGACCCTAGCTGGTGGGGAGTAGTTAAGAGGTAGGGTGGTTGCACTGGGGGTAAGTTGAGAGTGGTTCTGGTTGGAGCTGGGCTTGAGGTTGCCTTGGATTGGGGGTGTCGGGAGTGGAAGCTCTGATCCCGTCCTCCCTTCTGTCTTGCAGCGATGGAGACTCTCAGTTCTGAGAGGTTTCTGTAAGGCCCTAGAGATCGGCATCCCTGGATAGTCCTCAGTGGTTCCCCCCCACACACACACAAGTAGTAGTAGACACAGAGGCTGAGCCGCCACCACCCCTGGAATGGAACCCAGAAATCCCTTCCCTGCCTCCCTCTCCATGTAATCCTCACCTCTGTCCAACAGCCAGGGCCGGCTCACTCACTAGGCGAACTAGGCGATCGCCTAGAGTGGGCTGGCCCTTAGGGGCGCCAAACTGCACCCGGCCCCGTACTCTGGGAGTTTCTTGATTATTTGTGTTTTTCATTCTTCCTAAAATGCATTTATTTTTGAGAAATGGTGGGCGCACGGGGGGGGGGGCAGCAGAAGGGATCCTCGCCTAGGGGGCAAAATAAGCTGGGGCCAGCCCTGCCAACAGCCCTGTAGGCAATGGCTGAGAGGCAGGTATGACGGAACCGAGAGGGGCTGCCACCCTGACCTGGACAGGATAGGCCAGCCCAATCTCATCAGATCTCAGCAGCTAAGCAGGGTCGGCCCTGGTCAGTATTGGGAAGGGAGGCCACCAAGGAACACCAGGGTCATGACACAGAGGTAGGCAATGGCAAAGTTCCTCTGAACGTCTCTTGCCTTGAAAACCCCACAGCAGGGCCGGCTCGCTCACTAGGCGAACTAGGCGTTCGCCTAGAGCGTACCGGCCCTTAGGGGTGCCAACCAAAAGCCCCCCCGCCATTGCATTTCCATGGCTGGGTGACCCCTGCCACTACTGCCCGCTGCCTCTTTGGCTGGCTAACTTCTCCCTGCCTGTCCCCTCAGCTTCCCAGTGGAGTGCGAGCGTTTCTCCTCCTCCTCGCGGCCAGGGACTGGCAGCTGCAGCAGGAGCAACAGCAGCAGGGCCAGGGGAGCAACTTGACCACCACCGCCTCTTTGGCCAGCTAACTTCTCAGAAGGAGGAGCAGTAGCACGGGGAGGGGGGGGAGAAGGGGAAATTGGTGGGCGCATGGGGGGGGCACCAGAAGGAATCCTCGCCTAGGGTGCAAAATAAGCTGAGGCCGGCCCTGCCCCACGGAGTCACTGTAGGTCAGCTGTGACTTAATGGCAGGCGGGAAAAGAGGGGTTGCCTGCCTCTTGTCCAAAGGGCTATGAGGCAACATGCGCTGTACCCCTGGAGGGACCCCTGGGTCAATGCTTCTTGCCTCTCTCTGGCTGATAGGCCATTCCAGAGCATGCAGATGAGATCCCTAGAAGAGAGCCTAGAAAGAGGCTTTGGAAAGCCATGTTGTGCTCCGGGTAGGGCTGGAGATACCTGTGGGCGGATTGCTGTTGGTTTACCTGGAGATGCTACAGGAAGGAAGAGGTAGACTGGTTAAAACAGGGCTAAAAATGGCTCCGAAATGGGATGGCTGGATCTGTGGTCTGATTTGGGAAGCGCAGCTGCCATCCTGGATGGTCCTCGAGTGTCTCCAGTCTGGGAAGCAGTGAGCCAGGTGCTAATGGCTCTGGTCCTCCTGTCCCTTCGGGGGGGGGGGGTGCTGCTGCTGATGTGCCTGTCAAGCTGACCCTAGTTCACACCCGGCTCCCCCCTCTCTCTGCAGGTCTCTCATTCGCTCAGGATTCACCGAGATCTTGGAGGGCAGCTTTCACCACGTGCCGACGATTCAGCTGCTGTAAGTGCCCTCAGGGTTGCATGCGCCGGGGCGTGCGTCTGGAGGGGTCTGCCACAGGTTGTGGAGGTGGTGTGTTGGAACTGGCTTTTGGCTGACCCATTTGTCTATCCGTGTGTCTAGCCTGAGTGTGAGAATTCCCTTTAGTGAGCCGTCGGTATGCGTTTCACCAGCGTGAGTGTGTGCAAAAGGAATGTGGGCAGGCTGGCGACCATTCTGATATGCATAGACCATGGGCGATGCGGCATCTAGCATTCGCTCCACATCTCCTCAACTGGGAGGAAGAAGTGCAGCTTGAAACCACATTCGAAGACCCCGGGGCAATGCCATACTGACTGCAAAGTCACCCCTGAATGGCCACAAATCTATACAGAAGGTACCATAAAACCCAACGATCAAGGGAAGCGAAAGCGGCATGCAGTGTGAGGGGTGCCATAAAACCCGATGGTCAAAGGAAGTGAAAGCAGCATGCAATGCAGAGGGGAATTTCTGTTCCAATGTGGGTTTGGTAAAACAATGGAGGGGGAATCCAATGCCGAATCAGCCCACCTGTCCTGCCCTCTGCATCCAAGTACCCTTATCAACGATGCAGATGAACCTTTACAGGTTCTTCCTTGGGAACATGCAGTCGGGAGCTTCTTGGTGCCTCATTTGCTTGGAGAATTGGTGGGGCCTGTATGCCAAAGAGCAGCCTTCTATAGGCAAATGAAACTGGCGCATTTTCACCGGCACTAATTAGCCTGAGCCCCATTCTGTCATCTGTGAATCAGTAAGACTAATCCACCAAGAGGAATAGCCAAGATGAGGAGCAAGTCATTAGAAGGAGAAGAGATTGGATTTATACCCCGCCCTTCACTTGGAGTCTCAGAGCAGCTTACAAACTCCTTTCCCTTCCCCTCCCCACAACAGACACCCTGTGAGGTGGGTGGGGCTGACAGAACTCTCAGAGTCTCAGAGCGGCTTACAAACTCCTTTCCCTTCCCCTCCCCACAACAGACACCCTGTGAGGTGGGTGGGGCTAAGAGAACTCTGACACAAACTGCTCTTTTTCAAGGACAGCTGTGCCAGAGCTTGTGACTGACCCAAGGTCACATCAGCAGGTGCAAGTGGAGGAGTGGGGAATCAAACCTGGCTCTCCCAGATTAGAGTCCGCGCACTTAACCACTACACCAAACTGGCTCTTATAACCCCATCCCTATTCACTGGCATGACGGAAGTAATTGGATTCTTGGGCATGTGCCGTGGCTCAGTGGTAGAGCTTCCACTTGGCATGCAGAAAGTCCACAGTTCAATCCCCAGGATCTCCAGAAAGTAGGTGATGGGAAAGACCTCAGTCTGAGACCCTGGAGAGCCGATGCCAGTCGGCGTCAACAAGACTGACTTTGATGGACCAAGGGTCTGATTCAGTAAAAGGCAGCTTCGTGTGCTGTCTGAAGACATGCAGGTGATGGGGAAGATGCTACCTGAGACTCTGAAGGACCACTCAAGTCACGACTGACCTTGATAGACCCCCTGAGGCCATGGCTCAGTGGTAGCATAGCTGCTTGGCATGCAGAAGGTCCCAGATCCAGTCCCTGGCATCTCCAGTTAAAAAGGACCAGGTAGTTGTTGATGGGAAAGACCTCCACCTGAGACCCTGGAGAGCCACAACCAGTCTGGGTAAACCACACTGACTTTGATGAACCAATGGTCTCATTTAGCTTCATGTATTCAGAGAGAGGTCCTGGTGCGAATGCCTTTCATGAATTGTGGATCTGGGAACCCCCTTGTTTGGCATGTACTGGTTGGAATGGTTTATGCACACATACTCAGCAGGCTATGCTCAAAGGTACTCTTTTCCTGCATGGCGTACTCCAAGGCTGATCCCTGGAGTGGAAAAACAGGACCTGAAAGTCTGGTTTGAACCCTGCTGCACTCTGCCTAATGGTTAGGCTGTAGATTCCCGGGACATACCATTGCAATTGAGGGGTGACTGACTGGTTCCGTCTCTTCCTGGTATCGTAGACCTGTCTGCAGGCATCCCAAAATCTCAAGGCCAATGGGAGAGGTGCCTACAGATACACCTCAACACAGTCCGGATAGCAAACCTTGAAGTATTCATACATTTATTTATTTATTTACACATTTTATTGAGTTTTGAAAAAGATACAAGCATGACAAGAATACCTCAACTGCAGAGTTGTTACATAATGTAACAACTCTGTAGTATAACTGAGGGCAGAGAACCTTCTAGTAGTTTAAAAGGAAAGACCGGTAGTGACTACATTTATTTGCTTGAGTTGTAGTCCGTCTTTCTCGTGGAGACACAAGGGGGATTACAGAACGAGAAGCCAATACAATAAAAACACAGCGTAAAGCAAATGACAAGCAAATGGAAACAGCATAATACAGACAATAAGCAGTGAGCTTAAAAAAAAAACCTGCCTAAATTTTTCAGACATTAGAATTAGAATCCTGTTTACTTTATTTTAACAATGCCATTTGGGCCCGTTCCATTTTGCCACAACTAGATCTCCTGTATTAAAGCAGTACTTTATCTGTAGGCAATAGCTGTAGTCATGGGGGAATTGTAAAGCACGTGTCGGTGTGTGAGGGAATCATGTTCCCCTTGGGGGCTGTTTCTCCCAATCCCACCCCAGACTTGACTGCTTCCCTCCGCTCTTCTCTGAGTCTGACTTGCCTGCTTTTCTCTTTCCCCCTCACCCCCCACCCCCAGATTGCTCACTTACAACTCCTTGGACCAGATTGGGGACAATGCCTTCGATGGACTTGTACACCTGGAATATCTGTAAGTGTGCAAAGTTGTCAGGGCAGTGCGGGCGGGGAGGGGGCGTGGGCCGAGCATGCCGCCTGTGGGACTATGTGTGCGGGAGTGCAGGAGAAAGCCTTGAAAGATCATGAGATGAATTTTATGGACTAGTGTGGAAAGAGACGATGATGTTCAGAGGCCATTTGAATCCATGTCAAAGCTGGCAAGTCAACTTTTTTGAGGGAAACCCTTTTGCCGATTAGACATTTGGCTATCGCCGATTAAGCATCCTTTCAGCTGGAATACATTTGCCCTGAAGCTTTGGAAGGAAGGGCTTACACAGGCCTCTGTCGCTGTCTCTCTGTCTGGAAACATCTCAGAGTTGCACAGACGAAAGACTCTTGCTGAGCTTCTTCTTTTGCAGCCTGACCACAGTCAGGAGAAACTGCCCTGGTGGAATCCCCTTGTATAGGTGTGATAAGTAAAGCCACCAGAACTCTGGGCCAGCTTGGCGTACTGGTTACAGTGTGCTGGCCTCCGATCCCTGGGAGCCAGGTTTGAATCCGCACTCTGCCATGGAAGCTTATTGAATGACCTTGGTGACCCCCCCTCTCTCTTATTGTCTCTCAGCCTAGACTGCCTCACAGGGTTGTTGTGAGAATCAGCAGAGGATGGGATACTGATGTTTTACACTGCGTTGGCCTCCCACTGTGGGAATAGGCAGGCTATTGATAAATACATTGACATACTGTATTTACTCGAAAGGAAGGCTACCCTTAATGAAAGATGAACAGCCAGCCACCCACCCCGAAAAAATGTTATACACAAAAAAATTATTACTGGGGCCCTTGCCTGGATAGCCCAGGCAAGCCCGATCTCATCAGATCTCGGAAGCTATACAGGGTCGACCCTGGCAAGTACTTGGAAGGGAGATCTCCAAGGAATACCAGGGCCTGGACGCAGAGGCAGGCAATAGTAAACCACCTCTCTGAAATGTTGAAGCCTCTCTAGGGGTTGCCAGAAGTCAGCCATGACTTCCAGGCATACACACATACTGCAAAATAGATTTTTAAAAAAATTACTGGGGATAACTGCAGATTGTATGCGAATGGAAGATGTTCCCTCCCCCCCTTTCGATGGCATACTCTGAAAAAAATATACAGCGCAATCCTATGCAGAGTTACTCCCTTCTAAATCAATTTTGTTCAATAGGCTCAGAAGGGTGTAACCCCTGACAGGATTGTGCTGTTAGTCTTGCATTCTTGCTTTTGAGTAAAATATCGTAATATGATCATGGACCTTCTGGTGGTCTGTTAATATCCAGATTCTGTCCTCTGGTGAGTTATGAACATTAATTAACATAGATTTGTCTTGCTTTTTCACCTGCCTGGTCCCCAGAGGCTCAGGGATTGTGAAAGTTTGGGAGAACATCCCCATCACAGGGCCGAGCAATCCACAGTCCGTTGTGGATGATTGATTCCTGTTTCTAAATATAGGCCTGCTGCCTAGTGAGTCAGTGCAGCTAGTTCCAATCCGACATGTCAGATCTGCCAGCTAAGCACTGGGACTATATTTCTTCCAGGATTTTATTAATCTATTTTGTTTTGTTGCTTCCTTTCTATCCTGTTCATTAGAGAAAGGTCTACATGGCTTTCAGTCATATTTTTCCTTAATTCACTTCAAAAAGGATGTGGACAGAATGGAGTGGGTGAAGAAGAGAGCGACGAGGACGATCGGGGGCCTGGAGGCCAAGCCTTACGAGGAAAGGCTGAGGGATCTGGGGAATGTTCAGTCTAGAGAAGAGGAGGTTGAGGGGGGACATGATGGCTCTATTGAAGTATTTGAAAGGCTGTCACTTTAGAGGGGGGCAGGGAGCTGTTCCTGTTGGCAGCAGAGGAGAGGACTCGCAATGATGGGTTTAAATTAAGGGCGGGAAGGTACCGGCTGGAGTTTAGGAAAACCTTTTTGACAGTAAGAGTTGTGCAGCCATGGAATCAGCTGCCTGGGGAGGCGGTGAGCTCCCCCTCACTGGCAGTCTTTAAGCAGGGGCTGGACGAACAATTGTCAGGGATGCTCTAGGCTGATCCTGCATTGACCAGGGGGTTGGACTAGATGGCCTGTCTGGCCCCTTCCAGCTCTGTGATTCTATGGTCCCACCAAGCAGTCTCCCAAGTAGAGGTTTGCGAGGGTTAATGCGAACAGCCTTCAGACCATTCTCTGGGGGTTGCACAAAAAGGATTCCTTAGCACCATTGACTGGTGACCAGGAAAAGAAGCCAGGGCAGGTCCATGTGAGCCTGGTCTACTTAGTTATTTTGAAGACTGGGCCAGGTCCACTTATGCAGAAGAGGATAACCATCAGGGCCATCCTAAGGACACTTTCCTGGGAGGAAGCCTCACTGAACAGACCTGAATAGGATTCTGAGTAGACCTGGTAGCGCTCCAAGATGAGGAAAGGGTTGGAGCACCTTTCCTATGCATTCACTTAAGAGTCGGGCCTTTTCATTTAGGAGAAAAGTCAGCTAAGGGAGGTAATGATGACAAAGGTTTATAACAGGGGTCATTTCCTGCAGGAGCGCACAGGAGCGGAGCTCTGGCAGTAAAGCGCCCAGGGGGCGGGCACATGCAACAAGCCCCACCCCCTGCTCCCAGCAGCCTCAGGCCATGAGGAGCAAGAAGCCTCTTTCTTTCTTTCTTTCTTTCTTTCTTTCTTTCTTTCTTTCTTTCTTTCTTTCTTTCTTTCTTTCTTTCTTTCTTTCTTCTTTCTTTCTCTCTCTCTTTCTTCTTACCTTCTTCCCCCTCCTTCTCTCCCCTATTTACTTTCTTTGTTTCTGGTTTCTCTCCACCTTTCTCTTCCTCCTCCCTGCCTGCACAGATCGGCAAGCCGACCCCCCCCCCAGCTAGCAATCCAAAACAGTCCAGTGGCACCTTTAAGGCCAAGGTTTATCCAGGCACAAGCTCTCCCTCCTCTGCGAGAACAGATCTGCGCGTCCCCCCCCCCCAATAGCTAGCAATCCAGAACAGTCCAGTGGAGCCTGAGTGGTGGGTGTTGCCTTCTGACACACTTCTGGTGATGTCATGGGGTGTGGCATATGCAAATAAGTTATGCCAATGAGTTATGCGAATGAGCTCCTGCACCTCTTTTTCTACGAAATGACCCCTGGTTTATAAGATCATGCATGGGCTGGAGAAAACGGACAGAACTTTTTCTCCCTCTCTCCCAGAGTACTAGAACGCAGAGGCACCTGATCAGGTTGATGACCAATAGGTTCAAGGTGGACAAAAGGAAATGTTTCTTCACTAGAATCCATGGAAAGTGGACATAAGCTATGGCTGCTAGAGTAGACTGCTTTAAAAAGGGGGTTAATGAGAGGAATACCGATGGTTGTGAAAGAATGTGATGAAAGGGAATGTTTAATTTAATCACAGTTTAGATTGTTTTGGTTTTATTTTAATCAAAATGTTCTTGCAGGTGCTGGGAATTCTCTGTTCCTTACCGTCCTGTCCTCCAATCAGGAGAGGGAATGTTAAAACCATTTGCCTGCACTGTACCAGCCATGCTTTCCTGGCTCTCTTGGCAAATGTGAAATGTAACTGAGTTCCTCACTGTAAGGAAAACGTAGGCCCCGGTCACACAGGCCGGATATCGCGGGGGGGAGGCGTGGCTGTTTGCCCCGCAGCGAAATAACGCATGACTGCGCGATCAGGCGTTCCCTCGCGGTCCCGTCAAGGTCCCGTGGTTAGGGGGGAGGTGCCGATCACACGACGCGCCAAAGAAGCGACGTGGCACGGCAAACGGGGTTGTTTGGGTTTTTTTAACCTGAAGTATGCGCATGCCCCGTTGGATGCCTGTGCGCATCCCTGCAGACTTCGGGGGGGGGGAACCTTTTCGCAATGGGGCATGGGCGGGCGCCGGATGCCACTGGAAACACGATCAGACACCCGCCCTTGCCCCACGGTTTCCGGAAACTAGTACCTCCGAGGTACTAGTTTTTTACCGCGCGTCTTCCGCGGGAAGCCTCGGGTGAGCCACGGGAGCTCGACGCTTCCCAGATGTGGCGGTGAGATCGCGCCCGGAAAATCCGCCTATCTTCCGTCCCTCTAGCGTGGCTAATGCTCCGTGTGACCAGGGCCGTAGATCCTCTTGGCCTTATAGGTGAAACTTTTCAGGCTTTTATGATGATCTCCCGCAAGCCAAGAGAGGAGTCCCATCATTAAACTTCTTGAACTGACAATAGCGTTTCCCCTTTCATGGCCTCTCCTCTGCTCATCATTAACCTGGTTGTGGCTTAAGAGATCTTCTCTCTCCTGACAGGTTCATCGAGCACAATAGACTGGACATGATCTCCAAGAATGCGCTCCAAGGCCTAAAGAGTCTTCTCCATCTGTGAGTGGCTTGGGGATACCTTCCCCATCCCCAGCATACACCCTACGCCTAACACACACCGCCGGCAATCCCAGTTCCTCCAAACACTGCATCCGGCAACCCAACACTACCTTATTCTCCTGGTTCTCCATGCCACCATGCCAGTTTGGTGTAGTGGTTAAGAGTGGCGGACTCTCATCTGAAGAACTGGGTTTGAGTCCCCACTCCTCCACATGCAGCCAGCTGAGTGGCCTTGGGTCAGTCACAGCTCTCTCAGAGCTTTCTCAGCCCCACCCACCTCACAAGGTATCTGTTGTGGGGAGAGGAAGGGAAGGCGATTGTAAGTCACTACAAGACTCCTTCTGGTAGTGAAGGGTGGGGTACAAATCCAGTAGGTCCCGCTACTGAAACCGCTTTTTGAAATAAGATTCCCTGACAAAGAAAAATAACATATCAGAGAGAAGATTAAATTGAAACCCTTCTCTCTGGTTTTCTACGTAGAGGGAATTGGGGGGGGATACATGGAGGGTTGCCGGCTCCAGATGGGGAATTTCCTGGAGATTTGAGGGGGCGGAGTCTGGGGAGGGTGGGGTTTGGAGGGGAAGGACCCCATCAGGGTATATGGCCATAGACTCCATACTCCAAAGTCGTCATTTTCTCCAGGGAAGCTGACCTCTGCGGTCTGAAGATCAGCTGTCATTCCACGAGATCTCCAGGCCCTGCCTGGAAGGTGGCATCCCTAGTACACAAAAGAGCATTCTATTCTCTCGAGACCCCACTGGCTGTTTGAAGCCACTGATACGTCCCCTCAGTGAAAACGAGGCTTTAGTCAAACATATACACTTATCCACACCTGGTGTAGTGGTTAAGTGTGCAGACTCTAACCTGGGAGAACCGGGTTTGATTCCCCACTCCTCCACTTGCACCCGCTGATGTGACCTTGGGTCAGTCACAAGCTCTGGCACAGCTGTCCTTGAAAAAGAGCAGTTTGTGTCAGAGCTCTCTCAGCCCCCCCCCCCTCACAGGGTGTATGTTGTGGGGAGGGGAAGGGAAAGGAGTTTGTAAGCCGCTCTGAGACTCCAAGTGAAGGGCGGGGTATAAATCCAATCTCCTCATCATCATCATCCTAACATTCACAATTAGGGTTGCCAACTCTGGGTTGGGAAATTCCTGGAGATTTTGGGGGGTAAATCCTGTGGAGGGGAAGGATTTCTGCGGGGTGTACTGCATAGTGTCCACCCTCCAAAGCAGCTATTTTATCCTGGGGGATTGATCTCTGTACTCTACAGATCCTTAGTAATTCTAGGAGATCTCCAGTCTCCACCTGGAGATAGGCAGCCCACTTTACGGTGCCCCCTCCCAAGCCACTGAAACCTCTGACTGCTCTCAGGCCAGTGAATCCCACTGCGTCCACTGCTTCCCTCATAAGCTTGTTCCTCTTCTTTCTTGCAGGAGCTTGGCTAATAATAACCTGCAGACCTTACCGAGGCATCTCTTCCGAGGCCTGAATGCTTTGACCACAGTGTGAGTTTGAGAGAAAGGGAGGGAATGGGGCTGGGGGCTCATGGACGTGGGTAAAGGGGGATGTAGCCACTCGGCGTTCACTCAGCTGCTCTTCAGAGTTACAGTCAAACAACAAATAGTTTATTGCAGAAGGGGGAAATAAGCGGTTATTCGATAATATGGGGAGAACTAAATTCACTCCATTCAGCATGAGCATCAATGTACATTTAGTGATTGTGGATATATCAGCTCAAGGGGTCACAGTTAATTCAAAATAGTGTCAGCTTAGGCAGAGCTATGACGGAGCACAAATCTTGTCTTCCTAAGGCCCCAGTATCACTAACAGGCACCTCTACTTGATCGCTGTTTCTTTGTTTTGCTGTCAAACACCCCGAATAATCTGCTTTCAATCCACTTTCAGTGCACTTTCCAACTGGATTTTAGAACTGGCAAAATCCAGTTGGGAAGGGCGTTGAAAGTGGATTATTTAGTGTGTGTGACCACAGCCACAGTTGACTTGTGGTGTCCTCTGCTGGAGTTTTTAAGGCAAGAGACATTCAGCGGTTGTTTGGCGTTGCTTGCCTCTGGATCCGACCCTGGTGTTCCTTGTTGGTCTCCCATCCAAATACTAGCCAGGGCCGACCCTGTTTAGCTTTCAAGATCAGACGGGATTGGTTTTGCCTGGGCTATCCAGGAGGTCAGGGAGATCTCTGTTAAAAGAGGGTGGGAAAGATCTTCCTCTGCTAAAGGCCCTAGATGGACCAATGGTCTGTTGTGATATTAGGTAGCTCATGTCCAATTACAAAAGAAGGCAAGAGCTGAACAAAGAAGGAACCAAACTAATAAGTTTCATGGCCCTACGCCCCTAATAATGAAATCCGCCAGTAGAGGGGAATACAGATGTGATGATGAAATCAGGGAGCAGAGGGGAATACAAATGTAATGATGAAATCAGGGAGCAGAGGGGAATACAAATGTAATGATGAAATCAGGGAGCAGAGGGGAATACAAATGTAATGATGAAATCAGGGAGCAGAGGGGAATACAAATGTAATGATGAAATCAGGGAGCAGAGAATACAAATGTAACGATGATATCAGGGTGCAGAGGGGAATACAAATGTAATGATGAAATCAGCCTGCAGTAGGGTTGCCAGGTTCCCCCCCCTGACACTGGAGGGGGGCGGGGGTAGGGTTGCCAGATAGGATTGCCAGTCCCCGGGTCCTGGTGGGGATTCCTTGGTTTTTGGGGCTTCCGCTTGCCGCCAGCCAGCTGGCCGTCGGAGGAAACCCCATCCCTAAACCGCAACATTGCTGTGCAACATCCCCAATTTAATGATGTCACCCAGAAGTGACATCATCGTGCTGGGCATCACGTGGCAGCACTCTGGTTTGAGGGCAAGTCTCTACGGTTTGAAGCCGGTTTTACCACAGAGTCTTGCCCAAAAAACAGAGTGTCACCGCACAACATCCCCAACATGATGACATCACTTCTTGGTGATGTCATCGCATCAGGGACATCCTGGAACGCCCCCCTCCCATCATGATAATTCCAGGTTCCTGCCAGTAAGAGGGGGTGATTTGGGGGTGGGGGGGAGCACCTGAAACCAGGGAACCCCTGCCTGTACGGGGGGTGGGGGTGGTCTGGCAACCCTATTAGGTGGTGAGACTGTTGGGTGGTCAGGGTCCCCCAGGCACCAAGCTGGGTGCATGTGCCCCTGCTGTCTGTTGACTAGGACCACCCCTCCGTGGGCCCAGATTTGCAACAGGATTCACCTTGGGCTGATCTCGTACTGTGACAAGCTGCTTTCTTACACGGCAGGGATTTGCGGGGAAACGCCTTCCACTGTGACTGTAAACTGAAATGGCTGGTGGAGTGGGTGAGCTACACGAATGCCGTGGTGGAGCCAATAGAGTGTCGGGCGCCCATTGAACCGCACCAATCTTGCCGAACTGCGCCCGGAGGGCTTCAACTGCATCACCACCGGTATCTCTTGTCAGTCTTTGTGCTTCTCTCACTTGGTCTCTCAGCTTACCTAAGCCCTGAAGACCCTTCTCTTTCAGTTCTTCCCATTTGTAAAAATTTCCCACGATCCCGGTCTCCCCTCTTCCCTTCCCACCATCTTTCTTTATCTTAAGGAACTCAGTGCCAGCTGGGCAGGCCAATGCGCAATCTCAGGAGAGAGGTGACTTATGCCAGAAAATAGGTTGCCATCCCCCTGAGAGGGCCAGGGGTTCCCATGATTTCAGGGGCCCCAATCTGTCTCTGGCCAGCTGGCCGGCAGGGGGAGCCCCACCCCCGAAGAGCCCCACTGCGCCCAATGTGCCCAGCATTGCACCAGGCACATTGCACGGGGGCGATCTAGCATTTGGCTAAAAGCTCTATGGTGTCCATAGAGTTTTTGGCCCACTGTTAGAGCATCCCTGGCATGACGTGCCTGGCGCAATGGCATCACTCCTGGGTGATGTCATTGAGGCGAGGGCACTTCGCGTGTGCACCAGAAGTTCCTGGGCAGCAGGACGGAGCCCTCCGCAGGCAGTAGGTAGGCACCTGGCAACCCTACCAGATGTTACAGCGAGGACAGCTAGACTCCCGGGTGCCATTTTAAAAATAAGCGTTGCATGTACAGTGTACTGCATAGTTTGTTCCTCAGTCTATGACCTCATTCTGTATAAGGGTTGCCAGCTCTGAGTTGGGAAATACCTGGAGAGTTTGGGGGCTGAGCCTAGGAAATGTGGGGTGTGGGGAGGGGAGTGACTAGGGTTGCCCAGTCCCCCCTGGTCACTGATGGGGCTTGGGGGTTGGATTGGTAGATCCATATTGGGACGCTCCTGGAGTTTTGGGGATGGAGCCTGGGGAGGACAGGGACCTCAGTGGGCAACAACGCCATAGAGTCCCCCCTCCAAAGCATCCATTTTCTCCAGGGGAACTGATCTCTGTAGTCTGGAGATGAGCTGTTTACCTGGGGGATCCCCATGTTCCACCTGGAGGCTGGCATCCCTAGGAGGGACCTCAGCAGAGTATAGTCCCATAGAGTCCACCCTCCAAATCAGCCATATTCTCCAGGGGAACCGAAGCTGGTCATCTGGAGATTAACTGTAGTAGTGGGAGATCTCCAGGTGCCACCTTAAACCCTGTTCTGAATGATGGCAAGATGGGCTTCCAGCCTCTTGTCAAAGCACTCTCCAACACTGAAGACGCTGGAAAACCAGACATCACTTTGAATGTTGTTTCCACCGAGTCTTGCTCACCATAGTCTTGTTTTATGTCCCCTTGGTCAGTTCAGTGAATGAGGCTCTTCAGTCCTCTTATGTTATGCTGCAGAAGAGAAAACGCTCAGTGCACTTAGGGGGGGAAAAATATTAAAACTCTGCATTGAAATGTTCGGTGCCAAGAAAAATCTGGCTCCCGTGTCTCCTATAAATTATGCAAATTCTGGGAAAAATGCATATATTGCCTTCATGTCATTCATTAGTTTTGTTTTTGCGAGTCATCAAGAGAGACAATGAGATATGCAAACCACTGAATCTCTCTGACTAGTCAGAATTTCTGCGGAGCCCACCTTCCCATGAGGCACTGTTACCCAAAGGGGCTGTCTCCTTTTATTTTGGGGGGAATTAACAAAGAAGATAGAGCTTTGTGAGAGGAGCGTAACTGCATAGATCTCCACCAAAGTTTATGGGGATTTTTCCTTTAGAGAAGCTCTCAAAAATAAACTAGGCTGTAGCTTAACCAAATAGGAGCTGCGGTGGCTCAAGTGGTAAAGACGCTGAACTGCAGGCTGTGGAAGGTCGGTAGTTCAGCAGTTCAAGACCCGGGTGCCGCATGACGGAGTGAGCTCCCATCTCTAGTTCCAGCTCCTGCCAACCTAGCAGTTCGAAAGCAAGAAATTGCAAGTAGATAAATAGGTACCACTTCGGTGGGAAGGTAACAGCGTTCCGTGCACCTTGGTGTTTAGTCATGCCGGCCAC